GTATTGAAATTGAAGAGATTGTGGTCAAGTATTGTTCAATTTTTGTTTCTTTTTAATGTAGGCACTGAAGAACGAAATTAAACAAAGAGAAGCCATTTGGGATCGTGTTCACTGGGAAATGATTGAGCCGGTCATCAAGATCCGAACTTTACAAGCTCGACTGGCAAGTTCTTTAATTAGTTTGAAATATGTTTATTCATTGAGCGTTTTGTGATCTAAATCAGCGATTTAAGATTCTCTCCGCTACTGGATTTTCAAATTCAAACTATTTTTTCGTCCTTTGGCAACTTCTCAGATTGGCATTGACCGGACAGACCTTAAGAAAGCATTCATACAACTGACACTCGAGTTTCTGACAAAGCAGGTCAGTGTTATTTTAAGTCATTAATTGGTTTCTAGTGCCTTTGAATCTGAACTGAGTTCTTGATTCCATTTCTATTTTCAGAAATTTGAAGCATACGATTCGAAAGGCAATGTAGTAGCTGGAGACAAAAACAAAGAGGTAAAGTAAACTCAAATCATTTCCTTCTCTTATCTCATTTTGTAATAGGCATCAGGAGGATTTTATTGTTGTTTCTAGACCGCAGCCAAATGGCAATACTTTAAGATAAAAAATTAAACGCAGTATTTGGCCTAGATCGATGAAAAATCTGATTCAATTTACTGCTAATTGATAGAAAGTTGCACAAAAACCGGTACCTACAAGTAAATTACATGCTATGTTGCTTCTGCAGGTGCTTGTTCGTGACATCTGGGTCTTTGAGAAGTCTCTTTTCCATACGGGAGCTTACTGGCGACTCTGTGGAAGGATTAAATTATGAAGTTTTGCAACATTGTGGACAAAGAGTGACATCAATTCCCGAAAGAATAAAGTCCAACCTTTCCTCTGATTTTTTGCTGAGTCAGTATTCTCCTTTACAATTGGCTTTCTTCTATATTTCTTTTGATATTTGAGCCTGATCGTTGGTCCCTAGAGAAACCTAATATGCTATTTTGCGAGGTAAATCATCGGTAAGAGCAAAGATCAGAACCAAAAAAAAATGGCAGTATGTTTTGAGTATTGTAAACCTCATTGGAACCAGTGTTTTCCTTTTGTAGCTCATTAACAGAGAATAATGTTTGGTCACTTGCAACACTTTCTTTGATCTCTTCTAGTTTGGAAGTTATTGGTAAATTCTTGATAATTCAGGCAACTAGTTGTGAAAGAAATATAGAGTCAAAAGCTGGGACCTTTTAAGAGGATAGAGTTGGTAACTTGGTATCGTGTGTGCCTTGTGCCCCATCATCTTTTTTTGTTCTTCTTCTTCAACTCATTTTTTGCCACATTACTTAAATTCTCAGAATATAATATATCCCCAAATTTCGATTTGTACACAAGAAGGTGCTTCTGAAGATAAGAAGACAAATTTCAACTAAGTAGCAAGTCTCACCTAACTCACCACTTCTGATAGAGGGGAAAAAATGTTCTAAATGTTTTTTTTTTTTTTTGAGAAACATGTTCTAAATGTTTTTTTTTACTAAACAAACATGTTCTAAATGTTGCCAAAAGAATATTTCTTAAGTAGATGCTGGAGAACAAAAAACTTTGAATTACTTCAAAGAGCATCTCTTACGTGGTTAATTTTCTTAACGTTTTATTTTTAGTATAAAATTTTTAGTTATAATAAATACAAATGTTCTTTGTTTGTTTAAATTATGTTTAGAAATGCTAAGTTTTTTCATTAATTTGAACTACCAGAAAAAAAAATACTAGTTTTTACTTTTTAGATTGAATCACATCAACACATATCTTTTTTTTTTTTTNATCAACAATCACCATATATTAAATCAAGTGCTACCGAATGCAAGATTTCTCTGATGGGTCATCCCAAACGGAAATAT